AAATTTCCAAACATTCCTCCTTTATATAGCCATGGCGCCGAGAGGGTGCAACACAAGACCTTGGTGGCCATTTTCCCTTAATGACACTTGTACTAAGCTTAAGTACTCCTAGATGACTAAGCACTTAATTAGCTTAGGAAAGTGCCACGTTTAACTTCTTAATAATGAAGAAAGTTTGGACAATTTCCCACTAACTCACCTTACTTAAGCGTACGGCATTATGGAGATAATTAAGAAATTCCGAACAGTTTATTGCTAATCTTGTGATTAATTATTAATTACTCACTTATTATTGTTTAATTATTCAATTAAACATAATGCTTAATTACCAAAATTATTTCGAACGTAAACGGAACGTCGAAAATAATTTTCGGTAGTCTCGACTGAAAAGACTGAAAATAATTAATTCCGAAAATTAATATCAGAACTAAAAACATAATTTCTACTGATAAACTGACGGGATATTACATTATATATATAATACACACAATAATATTATTTAATAATAATAAGCATTTAAAACAATTAGACATTTAATAACTATAATAAAAATAATAATATAAATAAGCAATAATAATGGCAATAATAAACTAATAAATAATCTCAAATAAATTCTAATTCAAACGGGGCGTTACAGCTTCATCTTCACTTTTTGAGCCTGGTACTTCTTGATGATCTCTGCTTCCTTGAGACATTTTTCTATAGAATACTTGTGGAGTACGAGATTTTCAGCAGCTGGATCCGAGAATTCATCAGAGTCCACATCGCTCAAATTCTTTGCGTAAGAACCTGCGTCAGATTCTACATCAGTCAAATGAACTGAGGACGTAAAACAGTTATATTCATTAAGAAGACATTTAGAAAAGTTATTAGAATAGTTAGAATTCTCAGTATTTTCAGATTCTTCCTCCTCGTCATCACTAGAGTCAGACCACGTAGTCTTGAACGTCTTGTTTTTCTTCTTAAAGTTAGGACATTCTTTTTGAAAGTGACCGAAACCCTTGCATTCACGACATTGGTCTTTTTCAACTCCTTGGTTAGAATCTGAAACTTGTTCAGCAGCATGCCAGAACGCTTCTCTCCAAATTGCTGAATTTGGTTCCTACCACCTTCAAAGGACCTGTTACCCTGAGACCTCTTTTTCTGAAATTTCTTCAGCTTCGAGTCATTCTTAGTGAGCACAGTGATGGCCTTTGTGATTTCATCAACATCAAAGGATTCTTCATTGGATTCTTCATCCTCAGCAACTGCAGTACGAGCCTTGGCCTTTAATGCTAAGCCTTTTCCCTTTGCTTATCCTTAGAGAGTCAAAGTCATGGTTGATTTCAAAGGTGCGAAGTTCGCTAAGGAGATCATCAATGCCAAGTTTTTGAATTCTCTGAAAACTCTCTAATGCTGTAATCTTGATCCCAATCCTATCCGGTAGAGTTCTCATTAATTTCTGCACTTGTCTAGCTTCTGGAACCGGTTCACCAAGCATCGCACTTTGGTTAACTAGATCGAAGAAACGAGCATAGTACATGTCAATAGTTTCATCCTCCCTCATGCAGATCTCATCGAGCTCAATAGAGACTCTTTGGAGCTTTGACGTTTTAACTGCGTTTGTACCTTCAAACTGTCTTCCCAAGATCCTCCAAGCTTCTTGAGCGGTAGTGCACTGAATTATTATCTTGTGACGAGTGGGATCTACGGCAGACATGATAGCATATAGAGCTCGAAAGTTATCTTCTTTTGCTTGTTTTTCATCATCGGTCCAGATACTCCTTGGTTTTTCAACCAGAACTTTGGTAGTTGACGATTTTCCATCCGAGGATTCTCCTGTCTTCATTTCAGCAGGAACCTTCTCCTGGAGAGCTACCGTCCAACCGGATTCAACGGCCTGCCATGTGCCTTTGCCAAGAGACCGAAGAAAGATCACCATCATTGATTTCCAGTAAGCTTAATTGGAGCCATCAAGAAACAGAGGGCGCGAGACAGACATCCCATCATGACTCATGGTGACTGACACACAGTCCCAAAAATCTTTATCCCGTAGTTAGAACAGGAACACTGCTCTGGTGCCAATTGAAACGTGTATTTATTACGGAGTGAGCCAGTTAATGTACGAACACAAACAAGAACTGTAAAATGCAGAAGCAATATGACCGAAGATCTAAAAACTCTTCAGGGAAGCATCCCACTTCCCCTCAGAGCTCTTTCATTGATAAATGGCATAGAGACATAGTTTGGACTTACAAGACTCGAACTCCTTCTAGTCTAGCCAACACTATTCACGATCCTATCAACTATTTTTCCGGCCACGTTCCGTGGACTTTTTAACCTACACTTACTCCCTAAGTGTAAAAACAAAAGATAGTTTTGATGAAATAAAGAAACTAAACAAAAACCAGCTTTAGTTCTCGAGCACGTAAGAACTCCTAAACTGAACTGTGTACAAAAACTGAACTGAATAAAAATAAGCTCGAATATTGCTCTATAAATTGCTATCTTTTTTAGCAGCCGCAATAAGAGCTTCTCCTAGGGTATTTATATGATCTCCTTAGGGTTGGAATCTTCTTCAAGGCATAGGACTCCAAGAATGATTTCCTTCCATAAATGTAGCACAAGTTTGGTAAGTGAATCTCCTAGTCTCTCTCCTTGATCTTTTTAACATGCACGCCTCTTCCTCCTTTATTTTTCTCAAATCTGATTTTCTATAATATAAAATACCATAATAAGATCCATAGTATCTTATAGATGGAATACAAAATAAACTCAAGTAAGGAAATAAAATAATTAAAGATCTTCTCTTTTTCTGTGGTTCCAGGTACTTGTTAGAACCATCGAACTAATGCCAAACAAAAATATCTTTCACAAATTAATATGAAACACACAAATAAAAAAAAAAATAAAATAATAATAATAATAATAATAATAATAATAATAATTTATTAACTTAGTCACGCTTTTCTCGCTCGGCAAATGGCTGATAGTTGCCGTCTTGGTTGACCACCAGATAGTTGTGAGGGTTATTGATCAATCTCATGTTAGAGATATGTTGTAAAAGCTATGTGTTGCAGATTCTATCGATTCCATTTTGATCAGGCCATCATGTTTCAGTCAAAGTACATATGTTTGCAGTTTATTTATTTATTGATGCAAATCATACTCCATGTCTTATATTGAGATGGTGTGGTTAGAAGTGTTTCGAACAGAAAGATCACTTATCAGTTCCTTATAAGACTAAACTATTCGTTCACAGTCTAGACAGACAGTGAGACCCCTCTTGGAAAAAGACTGTAGTGTATTCTTGATTCAGTTGGTCTTTGACTGAAGAATTAGACTAGCACTTATGATAAGCGTTGAACAGGACCGCGGAAGGATAAGATTATGAGACTCACTTATCGTTGTTGTAATCTAGACCTTCGGTGATTGATGCGTTCAATTAAGCTGTAAGATAATATAAAATAGTCATATATATTCACTTCTTGTTTATTTGATTTACCAAGTGATTCCTATTTTTATTAGGATGACATACAAGGTATTTTTGTAAATAAGAATGATTATATGATGTGCTATTATAAATTATTTATGGTCACTATGTTCCAGTGCGCTGGATTGATGACGTCCCCAAAATGAGCTCAGGAATGTACATTATGTTAAAACCCTGCAGGTAGACGATTGTCTGACATAATGGTTAAGGATCTGAGTGGTACTACTTTCGGAAATGAATAAGAAGTTGATTAATTATTTTGTCAGTAATTAATTAATCATCGGACGTTATATCTTAAACATAGGGAGGTAAATCGATCAATCAGATTAATATTATTTAATCATGGAGGTTCGAATTTTTTGATAAATTAGGAGCTAAATGGGGAGAGCAATTATAGTGCCCCGTTTGTTTATTAGAATATTCTGAATATTATATTATTTCTTAATTGCTTATAATCGATTATTTTCCCTTGCTTTATTTATTTGCTGGTTATTTTATTAACTGCTCGGCTTGTGTAATCTTCATTAATTTAAAATTCAAATTTTGTCCTCATCTATTTAATTTGTTAAATAATTTACGATCCAAAAATTTAGATTCAAGAATTTCCCCGTCTTCTTAAATTCATTGGCGTGCTCTTGTTTTACTAAATCGTTCTTAGTGTTTTAAATTGATATGAAATTTGCATCTATGCCTATGTGTTATTTTATGTCTAAGTGTAATTTGTATGCTTATTTATGTGTACGTGTTTAAATTATTTTGCCTAGGTATACTAGTCCAAACTAATTTCATTTAATTCCATTGGCCCAAGTCCAAACTCCTTTTTATCTAGTCCATCTTCGGCCATTAGCTTAAAGAGTTTGGCCCATGAAATTTCCAATAACCTTGCTGTAACACCCCACTTTGATTTTAAAGAAATTCCGGACTTTAAAAAAATTCAGTGTA